TGGTATTTGAATTGGCCTTTCTCTAATTACAGGAAGGGGCAGCACCTTTTCTTGGGTCTACCGTTTACTTATACTTCTTGGAGAAATGTTTTATCCGTTTCCTTGGCTCCAAAACTCTCGCCTCCCCTCCCTTAATTTCTACCCTTTTACACATGCAATCACTGCACCAAAATTGTGTGTGTGTGTAGTCAAAAAAGGAAGCCCAAGTAGTAGTGATGTTTTTATTAATATTTTTGATTCAGTTATAGTCTAATTGTTCCTTCCTTTCATTTTTTTTTATTGACTCAAGCTACATTATTTTGTAATCAGAAAATACAATAAAGTTATGCCACTTAGGAAAAAAAAAGAATTCAAGTATCTGTATCTATACTTATAAAGATTTCCCAGTTAACAGGGAGGCCTCATTGATTTGGTTGTTAATTTGTACTGCATTAAGAATATTTTCTCTGACTGCACAGGAAATAGCAACTTTCAAACTGCATATTAAAATTTAAAAACATATCCTAATAAACAAAACCAGTGTGTTTTTGATATTTATAAATTGATGGACAATATGAATCTATAGTGAGGTGGTCAGCATTTTCATTATGACTACAGCGGGGCCTTGGCTTACGAGTTTAATTCTGAGTTGAATTCGTTCTGAGACCGAGCTTGTTAAGGAGCTCGTTAACTCAAATTAATCTATCAACTCAATGCAAAAATTCTGCCGATTGACAGCTGGTATCTCAAACGACTCGTTAGTCGGGACACTCGTAAGTCAAGGCCCCACTGTATTTTAGATAAGTGAACTACTATCCCTTCTTCCTGGCTGAACTCATAGTATTAGGCATCAGATTACTGAGATCTTCATACAGCGGTTCTCAACCTGTGGGTCATGAACAATGAAAATACATCCTGCATATCAGATATTTACATAACAGTAGCAAAATTGCAGTTATGAAGTAGCAACGAAAATAATTTTATGGTTGGGGGTCACCACAACATGAGGAACTGTATTAAAGGGTCACAGCATTAGGAAGGTTGAGAAGATTGCTGGATGGCTTTCAAAGGACAGACTTTATGTAGACCCCCAAATTCGAATGAATCGTATATCTTCAAATGTACCTTACAAATTAGTAACTTCACAGATTAGCCTGCTTCTCATTCAAAGGTCTTTATTTAAAATCCATTCTGAAGTTGCATGGTGTAACCCATCCAGAAATTAGAGAATTCCCTTTTATCCCATTGATAAAAGTGAGATTCAATAGATGGACTTTTCATTTGATTATGAGCCTCGTGCGATATCTCTGGTGTCTATCATTCATGTGCTATGTCGTTCAAGCAGTGGTTAGTGTTTTGAATCTTCCAGTAGAGATAGTAATGAGGGTCTGTGGGTGTCTGAAAATCACTGCAACACCCCTGAGATCCATGTAGTTTCCCCTCACAAAAAGCACAGTTCACAGAATCCCAAGCAGTTTGCAGAAGAAAGAGACCTTTTCATTTGCTGTCTTTTGTTAAAATTTCACTGAACCACCCCTACAAGCCCCCCAGAATAATCCCAGAACTCAGGGACAGAGTATGCAGAAATTAGTCCCCAGACATCCAGCTGTCTCTGCTGGGGAGTCATAGGCTAAATATAGACCCTTAAGGCAGCCTCCTTCTTAGAACATTGAAATATGACACCCCAGCAGGAAGCTCCCCAAGTGAGAGGCCCTGTGGGGGGAGGCCCTTTCAGGAGATTAGCCAGGGAGCCCAGAGTGCCTTGCTGGTGAATATTCAGAAGTCAAGAACAGGTCACAACTTTCTGGTTTTCCTCAAACTTTTATAGTGCAAACTCACTCACCAATTGTACTCCCTTTCTCTAAACCCCTACTTCATTTGTTTTGCCATCATTGCCTTATACTGTTCTTTCTCTCATCCTTTATTTTATCATAGACAAGTGAATTCTATTTATTAAGCTGTACAAACAGAACTTGAAGGTTCAACTGTCCATCATTCAATTTTTGGCTACTAAATACTTATGTAAGTGGCTTTTATTTGTTTTAAGTATATGCATGAGAAAGAATTTAGGAGTATGTAAAGCTTAACAAAGCTTCAAGGACAAACATTCCACTCTTACCTCTCCTTACTAATATACAATAACTCTCTCCTTTGGCATATTTTCCAATTGTTCCAGTGTATAACCCCTGACCACCATTTTCCCATTCTGTCAGACCTTTCCTGTTTGAATCCACTCCCTTTATAAAACTTCCTAAACCCCATGGGAATAATAACCCTTTCAATTCTCTTCTTTGTCATTTTGATCTACAATTCCTACCAAGGAATGTTGGGACTAGCACTTAAAATCTACTTTGCTTTCCATTATACATTCACCAACAAATATTTAAGGGCATATTATTTGCCTGACCATTTCAAAAGTGAAAAAGGAAAATCCTTAAGCATTTCCTCAGACATGCCTGTTGAAAGTTCCTGAGCTTGCAAAAGGCTGTGGGAAGTCAGTATCTAAAGGACCCTTCTGGCTTTGATCAGTATGTGGTCATATGTGACCTGTAACTTACAAAGTGTCTGGAAAAAAAAGATAGGCAGATGGTAACACTAAAGACATTATAGAGGGTGAGAAAAATAAATTATAGAATATTGTTATCTTAATCTATATTTTGGATTTTGTTATTTTTTACATTGTGTATTAGTTGATCTTGTTTGGGTGCAAAAAACAGAAACCAAACCTGGTGAACTCAAACAATGAGAAGATGTTGAAAACCAGGATCAGCTCTGTGGGGTCTATGGCATCTTCAGGATGCCATAGTTCCACCAACTTGCAATTTTTATCAAGGTTCAAGATATAAATTTTAGTTTTCAGTTGGTCTGTACTGTGTACAATGCCCACTCTTTTGCTGTAGAAAATGAAGAGTATGTAAAATACTTTCTTTTCTGAGAGAAATTTAAACTGTTTCAGATGTTGTTGATTTGCAGGAGCCTTTTAGCAACTTTGGATACTAACCCATTGTCCAGCTGTGACTGAGGGCTGGGAACCTATTTACCACAGCATACCTTAATTTTCACATTAACTGAACATTAAAGAGGTACAATTCTAAAATGGTGATGCACAGGTTGTCTTCTAAGCCAAAGCTACCTGGTTCCCTGAGAGGATTCCACGGAGTTGCATCTACAGTTCAGGGTCTTGTCCTCATTGTTGCATGATCAACCACTGATTTTGTCTGTATGCTAAGAGCAGATGCTTCTGTCAAAAAAAGACCCACATTCATAGAGACTTGTATATAAATCTAGATCTGAATGTCCAAACCATGGCTCTCTGCATCCTTTCCCTGTAATCAGGCCATAAGGGAAGTTGTCTCAATAGGAGTTAGGCCTGAATAGTTTACCCTGAGAAATAAATTTGTCAGGGGTACTGGAGGTTTCTGTCAGTTTTACCAGCCCACTCATTTCCTGTAGGCAAACTACTATTTGGGAAATCATACCTCAGGAAGTTGCTGTGAGCCTGCAATCAGAGCAAGAATATTGGTTCACCTTAAGAGATGGCTCGCAGCTAAGGAGGCTTGAAGTACTCTTGCACATCATGGGGATAGTTCTGCCAAGAAAAGCTAAATGTTCCAGTCATCTTAGCCAAGACTCCCTCTCCTCCAGACTGTGCTTGGGTGGGAACTACCAATACTTTCCTCTGACTCTCCTTTTCATATACTCCATGCCTAAATAAGCCCCTTCAATACACATGATATTTCTTTAAACACAGAATAATATAGTTGATTTGATTTCTTTTTACTAAATTTCAGTCATTTTTCTAGTACTGCCTCCCAAAAGTTACAGTTATATGAATTTCCCTGGAGTTTTGCCTATTCCCAAACTTTCAGTCTCTTGATTTACTCCCATATTGTCTAAGGATTTAAACAGTTATACTCAGATAATAACCTTATATCTGAACTATTAGGGAATAGCCTACAGCAGACTCCATATTCTGACATTATTTTGTTACTTTACCCAATATAAAAATGTTCAATAATTGCTGTAGGTGAATCACTGAGTTCATTAAATCAGTCAGTGAAATGGTTCCCCAGTAATTGATAGATGCTAATTCAGCCAATTTTGTTTTGCTCTCAGTGTTCCTCCAACACCTATGTTAAAGATGATATTCTCTATTTGTACCCAAATATATTTTGTAATGTTCTTTGTATGCCACTCATTTTGTCAGTTGTGCATGCCTGTTTATCTGACAGATAACCACTACACAGTTGTGGTTTCTACTCAATATTTTCTTTGTTATTGGCTTCTGAGGGCTCCATGCCCCTTCTTTGCTAACTGATGCAAGTGATAGTCTGTAGCTCTCTTGTTTAAAAGACTTGCCTAGTCCGAAGATTTATACATTCTCAGACACACTGATTAGCTTATACAGGGTTGTGTTATCTGCTAGGCCCCAGAAGACATTAAGATTGCTTTGAGTGAAGTGTATAACACTGCTCACAAATGAGAAAATGCGGGACTTTTGGAGGCCATCCACCCAACCCCACTCCCTAACTCCCACTCTTTTTTCTCTCAAATGAAAATAGATTTATAGTAATTTTTCTCATGAAAAGAATGCAGGCAGGGGGCGAGAAAGGGCAGAACAAAAAAATATTAAGGAAGTAAAAACCTTACTCTCACTCCAGGTCTCCTTTTCTAAAGTTATTTTTTGGTTTCAGATCTGGGACTAGATTTCAGAGGAAATGGTAGACATTAATAGCTGGGAGGAGGGGAGGTGGAAGGAGAGGTTGCTGCTGTCCCAGGAGCCTAGAGAACGAAGAAGCAAATTTTTCAAAAAGTACAAGTGGCCAGTAGTCCCAGGGGAAGATGCTGTCTGTTTCTGGCAATCAGAGGAAGGCAAACTCAACCACAGGGAGATGGGATTAGCAAAGAAAGAGTAACAAGGCCTGGTATGGGGGAGGGAATGTAGGGGGGCGGGTCCTCTTCTGCCGCACTGCTGGTGGGAGGGGAAATTGGGGACCAGAGTTGGTGGATGACGTAGCTCTCACGTGACCAAGAGCTGACGTGTGCAGAAGTCCTTCTTGTTCTGGTCGTTGTTCCGTCTGAGTACCAGCTACCCACTGCTCTGAGGGAGAGCGGGCCTGTGGCTGAGGGAAGAAGGAGGAGGAGAAGGAAATTGTCCCGGATCACAGCAGGTCAGTGCCTGGGAGATTCCATAAAGTGGGGGCGGTCCAGAGCGTTGGGCGGAGACCGTCGCGGGTCCTGAGGCGCCTCCGTAGTCTTTCCCACTCGCCACTGGCTTTCCAGGATATCTATCCTGCCTGCAGCCCATTTCAATGCTGCGAAATAGTGCCCAGGGAGGAGTTTGGGGAGCAGCCCAGAGATCAGAAGGTGGGAATCTGCTGGAAGCCGAGACCATAATCCGGAAAGGGAGCTGTGGCCTTGGCATTGGCCCCCTGTCTTCCAGGACAGTGCCGACCTGGAAAGGTTGGGCATGGGGAGTGAGGTGGGGGTGCAACGTGATGTGTCAGCAGAACCGGGAGTGGGGTGATAGGGGTGGGAAACCTTTGAAAACCAGGCCTCCGAATTAGGAAGGAATTTCATGTTCTGGGGACTGGTCCGTCCACCAAGCACTCGGTAGCTGCTGTTTCCCGTCTTTCTGACTGTAGCTCTGTCGTCCTGGCTGTTTAGTGGATCCGAGCCTCTCCCAGGTTGCCAGTCTTTCCGTAGTTTGTGGCTCTACGCCAGACAAGTGAAGAGGAAGGAAATTAACCCTGATCAGTGAAGGTCGATTTGAGGGTAAGGCCATCTGGGGACCCTAAGAGTGGCGGTGGGGGGGGGGGGGGCGGGGGGAGAAACCGGAGATGGCAATAATCTAGGTTAGGTCTAAGTCTGAGTATGTTTGTAGCACTCCTGGGGCTGTGGCAAAATGGCATGCGTTGTGTGCTGTGTGTGTGGAGCGGGGGTAGATAGGGTGGGAGAGAATGATAGAAGGGAAACCTATCAGATAGTTTGTTCATAATCCTCCTCTCTCAACAGTAGTTAGTCTCCATGTTTTCGATCTGTCATCTTGTAGGTTTGCTGTAGCAGGTGGCACCACTTGAAGCAAGGGAGGAAGTTTCCTTGGATCTGTAGAGGTCGGTGTGGGCGTGGGGGCTGACTGGAATGGGGGAGGGGCTGGAAATCAGCCATGGTTGGACAGGCTCACCCAATCCTACCTTATTTCCCCAACATCCCTCCCATTTCAGGCTAAGGAAGGGGCAGGCATGTACATGTTTTGGATGACATAGAGGGTTTTTTGTTTTGTTTTGTTTTTGTTTTTTTAAAATCTGACAACCTGAAAGTAAATCAGGAAAGCAACGAATGAAGTCAATCAAGCCCTCAGTTCTCACTGGTTCTGGTCTCTCTGCAGATTGCAAGGGTTGTTGGGTGTGGCACAATTCTAGGGGAGGAAAGAAGGGGCAAACTGCCTGTCTGGAGGAGGTGAGTGTAAGGTGATGTTCTCTGGGGACACCCTAGGTCGGGGTGGCTGAGGCCCTAGCAGAGACTATGGGCTCCATTGCCTTTATCTAGGCTGGGGAGAGTTTGGCCTCGGGAGGGTAGGTGGAGGGTAAAATGAGGGGGATAGAGAGAGTTTATTAACAATTTACATTTCCTACCAAGTACTCATTTACTACTCTTCTGTCCCTCTGTGCAAGTCCATGCATGGGGCAACACAAAAAGAAGAGAAACTCAAACCCCATTTTCTTCCTCCACCTCTAGGTTCACTTCGGGTATCAGCTACTGTGGCCCTGAAGTGGCTGAAGACAAATACCATCCACAGACCGGCACCCAAGCCCATAGTTCTCCCCAAGCCTGCGTGACTACTCTGTTCCTTGGTCCCTGCTATTGTCAGGGACGATTGCATGGGCTACGCCAGGAAAGTAGGCTGGGTGACTGCGGGACTGGTGATTGGGGCTGGCGCCTGCTATTGCATTTATCGACTGGCCCGGGGAAGAAAACAGAACAAAGAGAAAATGGCTGAGGGTGGGCCTGGGGATGTGGATGATGTTGGGGATTGTCCTGGGGCCAGGTACAATGACTGGTCTGATGATGATGATGATAACAGTGAAAGCAAGGGAATAGTATGGTACCCACCTTGGGCCCGGATTGGGACTGAGGCCGGGACCAGAGCTAGGGCCAGAGCAAGGGCCAGGGCTACCCGGGCTCGAAGGGCTGTTCAGAAACGGGCTTCTCCCAACTCAGATGATACTATTTTGTCCCCTCAAGAGCTGCAAAAAGTTCTTTGCTTGGTTGAGATGTCTGAAAAGCCTTATATTCTTGAAGCAGCTTTAATTGCTCTGGGTAACAATGCTGCTTATGCATTTAACAGAGATATTATTCGTGATCTGGGTGGTCTCCCAATTGTTGCAAAGATTCTCAATACTCGGGATCCCATCGTTAAGGAAAAGGCTTTAATTGTCCTGAATAACCTGAGTGTGAATGCTGAAAATCAGCGCAGGCTTAAGATATACATGAATCAAGTGTGTGATGACACAATCACTTCTCGCTTGAACTCATCTGTGCAGCTGGCTGGACTAAGATTGCTTACAAATATGACTGTTACTAATGAGTATCAGCACATGCTTGCTAATTCAATTTCAGACTTTTTTCGTTTATTTTCAGCAGGAAATGAAGAAACCAAATTTCAGGTTTTGAAACTCCTTTTGAATTTGGCTGAAAATCCAGCCATGACTAGAGAACTTCTCAGGGCCCAAGTACCATCTTCACTGGGTTCCCTCTTTAATAAGAAGGAGAACAAAGAGATTATTCTGAAACTTCTGGTCGTATTTGAGAACATAAATGACAATTTTAAATGGGAAGAAAATGAACCTACTCAGAGTCAGTTTAGCCAAGGTTCACTTTTTTTCTTTTTAAAAGAATTTCAAGTGTGTGCTGATAAGATTCTGGGGATAGAAAGTCACCATGATTTTTTGGTGAAAGTAAAAGTTGGAAAATTCATGGCCAAACTGGCTGAGCATATGTTTCCAAACAGCCAGGAATAACTTCTTGATTTTGTAGTTTAGAAGCAACACACATTGTAAGCTATTCCTTTTCTCCACTTTGTTTATATGGTAAAGGAATTCTTTCAGCTACCAATTTTGAATATCATATTGTATCATCAATGCTGATATTTATCCGAGTTGATCTTTAGGTCTAAGCTGGATGAATGAATGTCACTACATGTTCTGAAAACATGTTTGTTGCTTTATATCTCACTGCCTAGACTGAAATATTTTTTACTATTTCTTCTGTATAAATGACAGTGAACCAATTCATCCTAAATAAGTTCCCTCCTGTCATTTGCATTAACTTCATTTGTGTATCATCAATAAAGTTGTGTGTTAATGCTGGAAAGAAAAAAAAGAAAGAAGAAAGAAAGAAAGCATCTTTGCCCTTTTATTTATAATCTTGTTAGAGAGATTAGAAACATACAAACAAAATAACTGAGACTTTCTGGACTCATTGTCAAATATTCATTCTCAGAGCACAGAGGAAGCAAAGGCTACTGTGGGGTACAGTAGTCAACTACGGATTTATGGAGGAAATGACCATTTAAAAAGAGTCCTGAATGAGATGGAAGTGAGAGGGCACTGATGTGAGATAGGCATGGAGGTAGGAATGTTCTCCTTATGACAGTGAGAAACTAGTCTGCTTAGAGTAGAGCATGTAAGGAATGGAAGTAAATAAATTTGGAAAACTAGGTGAAGCCAATTTGTGGAAAGTTGTTTGGACATCATTCCACTGAATACAAAAAGCCACTAAATATTTTTGACTAGAAATAATAATTGGAATTCATATAAAAGTCCCTCTCTCACCTACTGTGCAATGTCTATGAAGGTGTGGCAAAACAGACACTTTCAAACCCTGGTGGTAGGAATGAATTTATACTGGCACAAGGTTTGTGGAAGGCCATTTGATAACACATATAAGCCTTAAAATATGTAAGCCCTTTGTCCTAAGAAAATAATTGAGAAATTGACCAAAGGCTACATGAACAAGGCTATGCATCCTAGCACTGTCTAAAATAGTAAATATTGGAAACAAGTGTCTAGCACATTGGATTGTTTAAATAAATTAAGGAATGTTCACATGGTATATGATAAATATGTTGATTTAAATCCATATTGCCAGGAAAAGATATTCACCATGCATTGTTAAGTGAGAAAGGCAGGTTAGGTAGTAGTATTCATAGTATGATTTCATTTCTTTGAGAATAATAAAACATATGTTTAAGTAGACACTAAAACTCTGAATTATAGACACCCAAATATCAACAGAGGTTATCTTTGGGTGGAAGGACAATGAGTGATCTTTTACCTTTTTACTTTTTATGTTTTAATCATCTATGTGCTCTTACTTATCTAAAATGAATATTGATTTTTGGGAAATTTTTGAAAAAGGAAAGTGTTGGGAATAAAGCAGGTGATTGGAGCATGTACTGAGTGGAAAAATTAGATTAAACATGAGATAGGTTGAAGTTTCCTCTCTGAAATGATAGATGAGTGGTGACGATGAGGCTTGTCAGGAGGATTAAATGAAGTAATACATGCAAAATACCTAGAATGTTCTGGCACATAGCAGTTAATTAAGAAAAGCAAGCACTTTTAATTTCCTAGAATGCAGGGTTAATAGTTTTTTGTTGTTTTTTTCTTTTGGGTTGACCTTTGTTTTGCTGGGGGCATTCTGCCACATGTCAGTGTCATTTAAAAAATAATAACAACAATAAAGGTTAACATTTATTGACTACTGTGTAGAGTTCTGTCATTCCTGCAAGGCAACTGTTAGAATAATTTATCAAAGGAATAGTTCTTATTTTTAAGTTCTTATTTCTAAGGACTTAAAGTGTTTCCTTAGACATGATTTTACCAGCTTTCATAATATATTCTTAGTCAGTTTGGCGATGTTATGCTGTCTTATATATGAGACCAGGAAAGGGTAAAATCCTTTGTTTAGTTATGATCTGGTTTTAGCCCCAGGCTTCCATATACTTACTCTAATGTTTTATGGATTAAACAAAAACCGAGTGATTGGTTGGCTTAAAGTTTTTGGGCATGATGACTCTACCAAATCATGCACATGTGGAGATCCATTGGACACCAGCTTTAAGTGTGGGGTGAGGAAAAAGCAAAGTAACACTTTTCTTGCTCTATTATTAGGTAGGAGAAAAAGATTTGGGAGGGGAAGGCTAATCCGTTAAAATTGAGTTTGAGGTAACTGCTACATCCATGTGGAGACACCCATTATCATTTTAAAGTATTGATCAAGCTCTCAGAGAAGAAGACAAGGCTGCAAATAAAGATTTAGAAACCACCAGAGGATGAAGACATGGGAGTGGACCCCCAGAGAGAAGGTGCAGAATGTAAGAGTGGAGGGCTGCACAAAGAACGATGTAAGGGACTGTGGCAGCTGGGGAGAGAAGCACAGAATTGAAACTGAGTATATATACTTCCAGAAACTTTTGCTATCCATATACCAATATACTCTATACATAAAATTGAACAACACTGTAGATAAATTTCCAGAGCCTGATTGAAGGTTTTTCTATTTTTCTCCTAAATTATATTCATTGGAGTTACTTGAGAAAATGGAAACAATGAGAACAAACTTGCCCCCTTATATAGCTTGAAGATTTAAGAAATATTTAAATTAAACCATGCTGAACTTGGGGTACTGAATGACTTTCTTGCCCTGGGTGAAAATGAGGTTAACTTTAAGTAAAAAAAGCCACCATGAGGCAGGGGCATAGGCCTGACCAGCGCCCATCTGTTCTTGCAGGTCTTTTGTCTCCTCTTCTTTCTTCCCATTCTTTTTCCTTCTCTTTATTTCCTCCTTCTTGGATAATTGGCAGTAGTCTCTTTGTGTTTCTGTCTTTTGGAGTGAGCATTTAATTCCCATGACACTAGGTCATGCACCAGGGGACACTTAATACAGAATGATAATGGTGTTTGCTGTGGTGATATGACGACTCTGGGTGACACTGAATGAGAAGAGTTTTTGGAACCCTTGTTGAACAGAGACTGAGAAGGAATTAGTCTTAGCATGGCACAGCTCTGTGTGCCCTGTATGTACTTTGATGTCCCATACCTGGTACTGTATTATTTAGAACAAAATCACTCAGACTTTAAGAAGTGCTGTGTGAAATACATATGTGACTGCCTGATTTAGGCAGGCCACAAGGCCAGCCAAGCCAAATGAACATGTCCTGATGTTTTCACATGGGAGATTGCCACTCATCATTTTGTGAATGGCACAATTCTAGGATTGTGGCCATGATCGTGGCAGCTTATGGGAACAGGGAGGAGGTAGTGTTCTCTCTTTAGCTAGGGTGGCAACTCCTGGGAAACCAAGGAGATTAGAAACTCAGAATATATTTCTATTTGGGTTTTGTCCTCATGTAATAGTTGTATAAATTTAAGTGGGTCTATTTCAGTCAAATGTGTTCAAAGTCGACTTTACAAAGATGGAGTATATAGTTCTTTATAAATTGACGCCCTAAACATATTATTGCTTGGCTCAGGAAACTAGGTGTTTTTTTTTTAATTCATGTTTTACTTGCCTTAAAATAAAACATTCCAAGCCCTGGCCAGTATGTTCAGTGGTTAGAGTGTTGGCCTGTGCACCGAAGGGTTGAGGGTTTGATTTCTGGTCAAGGGCAAGTACCTGGGTTGCAGGTTCAATCCCCTGCTCTGGTCAGGGTGGTGAGGGAGGCAATCACTCAATGTATCCTGGGTCTCTCTCACATAGATGTTTCTTTCTTGCTTTCTCTAAGAAGGATTATTTTCAATGCTATCTTTTTTCTGAAAGCAGTTTTATTTTATTTTTTTAAATTTACTTTTATTGTTGAAAGTATTATAGATGTCCCGTTTTTTCACCCCACTGACCCCTCCACCCTGCACCCATTCCCCCCTCCCAGGGCTTCTCCACACTGTTTTCTGTGTCCAGGAGTTATGGATATCCTATATAATAAAAGGTTAATATGCAAATAGACCAAATGGCGGAACAACCGGAACGACTGAACAACTGAACAGTGGGTTGCTATGACATGCGCTGACTACCAGGGAGCGTGTACGGAACATGATGGGCATTGGATGCGGTTGGATGGTGGAGCAGGTGAGTGGGGGTGCCAAACCAGGCGGGGCGCCAGTCACTGTCATCAGGACAAGCCTCTGGTGGTTACTGAAAATTCTTTGTTCCCGCATGCCGTGGTCCAGCCCGGCACTTGCACCCACTGCCAGTGCCGGCCCTGCTTGCACTCACAGCCGGCACTGGAGCTGCCGCTCACACCCGCTGCCAGGGCCTGGCGCCAATCCCAATCACTCGGCGCCATCAGTGGGTGCGAGCTGCTGGCTCTGATCATCCCTGAGGGCTTCTCTACCTCCCCCTGCTCCTGAGGGGTGATTGGGGCAGCAGCTGCTGTTTGCACCTGCTGCTGGCGCCAGCCCCAATGCTCCACCTCGTCAGTGGGTGTGAGCGGGGGGCCATTAGCATGTGGGAGGGCGGTGGCAGGAGCAGGGCTGCGGCAGACAGGGGACCAGGGCTGTGACAGGAGGGGCTGGGCAGGGTCGTGGATGATGGGTCGAGACCCACCCCTGTGCCTTCTGCAGCCTCGTGGCCCACAGTTCCTAGTATGCATATAAGCTCTTTGGTTAATTTCTTCCCACCCCCTACCCCACCCCCACCTTCCATCTGAGATTTGTCAATCTGTTTCTGGATCTATTTTGTTCCATGCTTGTCTCTGGGTCTATTTTGTTCCATGCTTCTTCCTGGATCTATTTTGTTCATCAGTTTATTTTGTTCATTGGATTCCACATATGAGTGAGGTCATGTGATACTTGTCTTTCTCTGACTGGCTTATTTTGCTTAGCATGATACTCTCCAGGTCCCTCCATGCTGTCTCAAAGGGTAAGAGACCTTCTTTTTTATAGCTGCATAGCATTCCATTGTGCAAATGTACAACAGTTTTTTTATTTTAATCCACTCATCTACTCATGGGCACTTGGGCTGTTTCCAGATCTTAGCTATTGTAAATAGCACTGTTATAAACATAGGGGTGCTTATAGTCTTTCTGATTGGTGTATTGGGATTCCTAGAATATATTCCTAGAAGTGGATCACTGGGTCAAATGGCAGTACCATTTTTTTCTTTTTTTTTAGGAAACTCCATAATATTTTCCATAGTGGCTGCACCAGTCTGCATTCCCACCAGCAGTGTACTAGGGTCTCCTTTACTCCATGTTCTGTCCAGCACTTGTCATTTGTTGATTTGTTGCTATCTTTTTATACTCATTTTAAATCACATTCTAGGGTGAAGGTTTCCTTTGGTTTCTCTGTTTAAACTGTGACTCTTCCTTGCCTTTACACCAGAATCATCTTGCTGCCATCCAGGGGTGCAGAACTAGGATACTGGCCCCTGGTATGCCCTGTCTTTAGGGGGTGGTGTTAGGAAGAATAGTGGATATTTACTTTCAGAATAGTATACTTCCACACTTGATCCTTTCTATTGGGTCTCAGGCCTTATTTTAAAGGCTGGGCGATGCTGTATTTGGAGATAGGGATGACATAGGGGGAAGGAAGGGGGAGGGAAAGAAGCTTTATTAGAAGGGTAACTATATCCAACAAGTTCATGCACTTGTAATTCAATCCACCATTGATATTGGCTAAGTATAACTCTCTGGCCTTGTTGACCATTTACATTTTTAAAAATGAAAGCGCAGGTATAATAAAAGCATCTTTGTTTAAGTATAAAGCCTTCTGTTTATTGAGCATTTCAAAGTTTACAGAGGATGTAACATTTTATCAAATACTAGTAGGGTGGAATTTCTTTTTGAAAATAAAAAAACCAGAATGATAATATATATTATAAAAAACAGTTACCATGTAGACCAGAATGTTAGTATTTGCTGCTCAGAACATTCTCTTCTTGAGATAAGTCTATATCAGAAACAAAATTATCATCAGAAAGTTGTTTATTTAATGCTTGGGAAATCAGAGCAAGCTGACTTAGCTAAATATTAATGCCATCAAAGTAGGAGAGCCTGGTGTATCTGCCGTGGGAATTGGCTTGTTGCTAAAATAAAATACTTGTATTCAAGAGCTAGAGAACATTTCTCACTAGACACAATTATACATTTGTCTGCCTAGATGCCCCTTCACCAAAGGCAGAGCATCAGTGGATGGTTGTTTTATGACTATTAACATGTGTTATCAATTAGCTTTCTTTTTTTAATTGACCTTTATTGTTGAAAGTATTATATGTCCCCCAACCCCATCAATTAGCTTTCATTCAGAGTTTGAGGGGTGTATACTTCTACAGCAGTGGAAATCTCTAGTATTTGCAATGAATTCTCCTTTAATTGTTGATTAGTCTCCCCTTTTCTGGATTTTTTTTTGTTTGATGAATAATGATAACTTGTTATTAAAATTTTTGAAACCCAAGCAAAATGAATTGTCACTTGCTTAGTTACTTTTCCATTTTCATTTCAGTCTTCTGTTCACTAAAATATGATTTAGCTATGTTCATGCTAATTTTTGTGGCTTTCTTTCAATAAGCCGTAATGAAAATCTAGACATAATGAAATAGATCCATAAAAAACTTTTAATTTTACTTTCTTCCATCATTTAAACTAAGTTGAGTGGATTCTTTTTTTGATATTAGAAAGGATGGTATCTAGGCAAGACAAATAAAAATAATCAATATTTTATAAATCTTAAATTCATTCAAACTAATTTGCAGAATGATTCTTTATAACCAGTTATCATACAACTTTATCAATTATCACCTCTTCTTAAGCTTGTCTATGTAATCTGTAGCCAAAAATTTGAAGTATTAAAATTATACTATGTGACTTATGAAAGTTTAATAAATTCTGATTGATTTTATTCTTGTATAAAGGTTAAACCTTTATGTTGTAAATGTTATAGCTTGTGAATGTATATAAATATATGTCACACATAGTCACATTTTTTTAGGTGGATGTGGTTATAATTGGGGGCATATTAAGATATCAGTAACACACCCTAACTGGTTTGACTCAATGAATAGAGCGTTGGCCTGTGGACTCAAGGGTCCCAGGTTCGATTCCGGTCAAGGGCATGTACCTGGGTTGCGGGCACATCCCCAGTAGGGAGTGTGCAGGAGGCAGCTGATCAATGTTTCTCTCTCATCGATGTTTCTAACTCTCTGTCCTTCTCCCTTCCTCTCTGTAAAAAATCAATAAAATATATATTTAAAAAAAAGATATCAGTAACACTCTGGGATAGCTTTTCACCTATTTTTAAACTATTGATAGAAGTCCTAGATATATTTGTTTAAACTTAGAAAGGGTCTGAGGAGGAAGGCCATATTTTAGCCTATGCATTGGTGGGCATATGACTACCAGTTTGAGAAGGATTCGTGAGTTACCAGCCTCCTGAGAGGTTATTTTCCACAATGAACTCTATTTTAATCTTCTTTATTGTGTAATCTTAAACCATAGAAGTAACTCATTCCTGTTAAAAATGAAAACATAAACATATAAATTAAAACATAAAACTGTCCTCTTCTCACCCATTTTTACATTCACTTACTGTTACCAGTGTAATGTGTTCTATGCATACATAAATGATATACATATAGTCAAATTTTTATCATAAAATAAACTTATAGTCCATATATAGTTTCATTTTACAACTTTTATTTCACTTAAAATATATTGTGTGTACCTTTCTATGAATATCTTACCTCATTTAATTTTGTACATTGTGTCTTTCCCTGTTAATGATTTATATTTTTTGGTAGTAATATTACCCTTTCTCTTTGGGTTTTCCAGTTTTTGAGACATACCCAGGGAGCCTTTTCCTAGCCCAGGGATTTAATATAATTTTATTCAAGCTTTAAAACTCTCTCTCTCTCTCTCTCTCTCTCTCTCTCTCTCTCTCTCTCTCTCTCTCTCATACTTTGTGTGTTATGAATTTTAACCGCCCCCCGCCCCAGATCCAGACATTGAATAAGCCATCTTTTCCTCCACTTTTGCAAGAACTTTTCATACACTGTTAGTCATAGGTTACTTACAAAATGTTATTCTTCTCTATAAATGAAAACATTGCTCTTTTTGCTATCTTTGAGGCATGATGCACTGAGGATTCTTGGTGAAGTCCTATGTAACAGAACCAGTTTTATTTAAGATGGAATTAATAGTATTGGGTTCTGAGACTAATTCATTCTGCTATGTGTCTATTATGAAAACATTTAAAACATCTAAAGGATAAATATAATGCATTTTGGGCTATAAAAATATAACAATTTGTGCTCAAAACAATCTTAATGTTGTTCTGGGATGCATGACAATGCATGAGCTAATCAGTGTATTTTTGAGAGTTTGAAAATCTGCCAGCTAATTCAATCTTCCAAGCAGAAGAGTTAGTATATATTGTAATGTGTGCCTTGGAACCAGAGTAAAGAAAATGATCTTTTTGACACATGAAATGAACTATCAGTTCTAGAAGGTTTGAGCACTATAAATTAAGACATTTTGGTGGACACCTACAAGATAAAATAATATTATCAAAAAATTGGAAGATATATGAATTTAAATTTATAAAACAATTAAAAAGGACACATATGTAATACCCTTTGTAATACTTTAAGCAATAAAAAAAATAAATTTATAAAACACACATAGGTACAAATTGAAAAAATAATATAATGGACTGATGAATCTCAGAGGGAAGGCAGGGATGGGTAGGTGGGTGGGTGGAAGAGCTTAACCAAAGAATTTATATGCATATATGCATAACCCATGGACACAGACAATAGTCTGTTGAAGGTCTGGGGTGGGGTGAGAAGGGTCAATGGGGGAAAAAAGATATATCTGTATTATTTTCAACAATAAAGATAAATTTAAAAAAATAATGAAATAAATATCAGCAAAATATTAAAACTGAAACAATTGCTTGAAGTAGCAATTGGTGAAAAGATTCTATATATAGGTGATTATGATAGATGATACTACTTTCATCAGGAATATATGTCCTTTTAAGCCAAAAGAAAGAATGCTAATACATAGTCCCTATAGTGCAATACTCCCTAAAACTCTCTGGAATAGAGAAAAGCTATTTTTTTTTTTATTGATT